CCGCCTTCAAGCTTTTAAAGAGTTTGGCCTTACTCCTGAACCATGGTACCAGCTGATGGATTTCGTGGTCATATCGCTGATCTGGCGGCTTGGAGATGACCCTGAGTGCTTTCTCGTACTCCTTTGACATGACAGGATGCCCAGAGCAACCGTCGGGAAAATCCGATGTAGCAGATTTATATCAGCAGTCAGTAATGCCTACAGCAGTTTTTATAGCACTCCAGTGTCGCAGATTTATAATGGTGTTCACTGAAGTCTGGAACAGCTGTGGGAGGAATCAGGTGTCGCAGATTTATAAGTGTTTAGCAATAAATAGAACCAACTGTTGGATTAATCTAATATAATACATTTATAAGAGCGTTAAACATGTCACAACTGCTGAAAATAAACGACATTTATAGGGAGCCGCATTATGCAGTGGCTAGATGCTCGCCTGTCGATCTGAAATTCGTGATTTCAAATCCAAACGAAGTCGGCTTTGTGTGTGTGTGTGTGTGTGTGTGTGTGTGTGTGTGTGTGACTTTTTTCTTCTAACATGACCTTGGCTTCTAGGTCGATTGTCTAAAATGGGTACCAGATAAAGCCATGGGAAGTAAAGACAACCGCCGTGCTTTTGACTTTCAACTGGAACGATTAGTCTATAAAATAAATATCTAGCCCTATATGCCCAAAACACCCGAAGGCGTGGTAGAAGGTCCATTATTTATTTATTTTTTTAGCTGTACATTTATAACTTTCCCTTCTTCAGCATTCCGATTGGTCGTATCTTTCCTATAGGTGACTCCAAGTGTTTCCATGTCTCCATATGCGATATCTTTCCAGTTTTCTTCATCTTGCTGCTGGTCTACTCCCACTGATCTCCTTTGTGTACACAGTTTGTGTCTCTTCGTTATCTGCTATTCTTTTATATGTCCCGACCCTTGCAGTCCGCTTTGTGAGCTTGAAGCGGGTGAGTTATCTGTTGTATGTGTGCTCGAAGGTGAGTGATCTATCTCTTGTACGTGAGCTTGAAGGCGGGTGAGTTATCTGTTGTATGTGTGCTCGAAGGTGAGTGATCTATCTCTTGTACGTGAGCTTGACGGCGGGTGGTAGATGGTCAAAAATAACCTTTACTTGTGGTTTTTTTTTCTTCTTTTTCTTCTTCTTCTTCTTCTTCTTCTTCTTCTTCTTCTTCTTCTTCTTCTTCTTCTTCTTCTTCTTCTTCTTCTTCTTCTTCTTCTTCTTCTTCTTTTCTTCTTCTTTTTTCATTAACCGGCTGAAAACTCCAGTGGAAAGTTCTGGTTACTCGTCCACTTCTGGACTTTAGTCCTATTCCAGAACGTGAGTGGTGCGTGTTCATCCATTATACAGATCTGACTCATTTGTACGCATTCTTCTGGTTGCTAGCCTCTCAGGCAGATGCATACCGACTTAGAAGAAAGCTTCCGATAAGTCGACTCTTACGACATGCTTTTAAGGAGGCAGTGGGTATGCTCTTGTCTTTCACACAATGGGGCTCCAGATCCCACATGGTGGGTGAACTTGGGCTTTTGAAATCGAGGAATTATCCGATAGTATTCCCAAAGATAGTTTTCTCAGAATATCTTGAACAAAGAAGATGAGAAATATTGACATCTTAAAAGATCTGAACATCAAGAAAGATTGGCTAATAAACAGCATCCTTTCTCGAAAGCTGAAATATTTTAGTCATATCAAGCGCCACGACGGATTGGAAAAAATTATAGCAGAAGGCATGGTACCAGGAAGGAGGGGCAGGGGCCGACCGACACGAAGATGGGCACAGGATATAGATGACTCCTTGAATGTGAAAACGCATGAGGCGGGAGAACTGGCGAGAGACCGAGTTTCTTTCCGGCAGACTGTGATAATAGCGACGTTCTGCAAAGGACCTGCTATATAGGGGGGGGGGGGGGAGGGGTGATGATTCCCAAAGACATAAAAGCTTCACTGTTGCCAGCTTTCATTGCGAGGATGAAAAAAACTGCATTTATTTTATCTACGTGGCACAAAATGACACTACTTCTACCAGGTGAAATTGTTTCAGTTACACAATATGTAACTCTAGTTACACAACCATGTCAGGACGGCGGTTGTATAGCTGTGTTCTTCAAACCCATACCTCCAGCCCACCAGTTGTCAGCAAATACGTTCTGATGGGCCGCGGAAATTATTTGCCTAACCATGTAGCGGCTACGTGATTCCGGTACTACATTGCTGCATAACCAGTGAGACGTTGTGCGCATTATCTTGGGGCCGGGAATGTAGACATTTTATTTGCTGTCAGGTAGTTAGTCCCTGAAACACAACCGCCTAGTACTGCAGGTTACACCTGGCTGATTTTGCTTTTAGGCGTGCCCTAATTATAACTTCTTTAGAGTTTCAAGGGGGTAGCCGATATACTGAGCCTGTTCTGTTGTATGGCAATGAATCTTAAAATGTGATCAAAAAATTAAGAAGAGTCTGGAGGCAACTCAGATGTGGTTCTTGAGAAGAATTTTGCGAATACCTTGGAATGCCAGAACAACAAACAATCATTGTCAAGAAATGGCTTCTGAAAGTAGAGCATTATATAAAACAAACAGAAGCATACAAAAAAAGTTATTTGGTCATGTGATGAGAACAGGAGTACTGGAAAATATCGTGACGACTGGAAAGGTCATTAGTAGAAGACGCAGAGGCAGACCAAGAGAAATGATAGTGGATGGCTTAAGACAGTGGCATGGAGGAATATCATCAGTGGAACTGATCCAGAACACCAAAGACCGAGATCTGTGGAGATCCATGAACGCCTACGCCAGCTGGCAAATCAATGATCTGGGATTTGCCTTGTCGGCCTGACAGCCAGATTGAGAATGTTTTGTGTAAGAATGATGTGGTAAACCTTTAGGTAGCACCTCGGAGGAGTCGAACTGATCGATTCCCTATATTGCCAGTCCACGTGTGTAAAAGGTTGAAGAACTCTGCACTTCAAAACACATCGCTGCTAGAGTTGCTAATTCCCTGGTATATTAAGCCGTCCTGACACTCCCTAATCATAACAATGAACTTGTCAAGAGATACTTATGCCTGAATATGCGTATCTACTGTTTCAGTTTATTTACTGCACACATTGGTGCAGCCAGCGGTGTTCCAAGGCGGCCCGTTGTGTATGATGTAGAGCAATGGTTCTCGACCTGTGGGTCACGACCCTATTGTGGGTCGAACGACCTTTTCACAAGGGTCGCCTAAAACCATCAGAAAAACACATAGTTATTGAATTTATTAAGAAAAATAATTGTTTGGGGGTCTCAACAACATAAAGAAACTCTATTAAAGGGTCGCGACACTAGCAAGGCTGAGAGTCACTGATGTAGAGTGTGCCTATGGAAGAGGGGCAAATTGTTACAGAATTTCGTATGCTTTGAATTGAGAATGGACAGAAATATTATCACTGCATCATGTGGAACATAACAACAACAAAAACTACAATAACAATTTATATCACAAGGACAACGATACCAGTAGCATAAATAACAACAGTGGACGAACTGTTAATAATAAGTGGAGGAACAACCACAACTTTCTACCGGAGTTTACAGCCGGTCAATGGCAAGAAGAAGAAGAGAAAGAAAAACCTATTTTAAAAACAAACAAAATATAAACGTATCTTAACAGAATGAATCTAGTCGCTGGAGAGACCTTGTTCATAAACTCATCTAACCTATTTTATGACACACTCAGGCAAAACAAATTTCAAACGATCTGAAAACCCACACATTTTACACACAAAATCATTGCCCAATAAAACACAGAGAAAGTATTTGTTTGTTGTGTGAAACGAATTTCAGGCTGTCAAGTTTCATGCAAACGTTTAACGTTGTCTTAATGTCGTTGTTTTTAACATTTTCTTCGAGCGGTATAGAATAGGGTGGTCATTAAGTCTGGTATCATTTAGTGTCCAACTGTTTGTAGGGCTTTTCTGACAGCTGCCGTGTGCATTTCATGCGTGTGCGCGTTATTGGTGTTGCAGTCTTACCCATACCCACCCCCCCCACACACACACACACACAATGGACAGTAATGGCCATTCTGTGTGATTTTCGCTGGCACAGGATCGGAGCAACATTGATGTTACCCGTTTGCTGGAAGTGCAACGACCTGATTTAGGAGCGTCATAACTAGTGCTACGCCACGGAATATACAGACTGTAATTTGTTTTCTACCCTCAGTAGACTGAATTAATCCATTTCTTCATCCAGGATTCGAACCTGGGTCTCTAGACTGAGAGCGCAGCGTTCGCTCAGCCAGTAGCTCAACGCTGTATTCTTCATTGTCTTCTTCTTCTCTTCCTCTTTTACCAATGTGGATGTCGAAGAAGATATGAGGTTCTGTTTCTGGCTCTTCTGGCCACCTTTACCATAAACACACATTACTGTTGTAGAGCTCTGTCTAGTGGTCCTTTAACCTTGCCCTGGTCGAATACCGTCTGATTGGTCCATTTATATTTTTGTGGCAACAATGAATCCATTACTGGCTTGCTAAGCCTGCTACAACCATACCAGAGCTACGTTGCCAAGGACATTTTGGAATAGATGGCAGGGCATGCTCAAATTGCATGTGTAAGCGTTAGCAGGTGACGGTTACACCCTAGAGGGTATTACGTGATTCTTTCCTCCTCATCAATTTTCGATTTGCTGTTTGTAATATGTGTGCGCAGCTAACATTGTAGCAATAGTAACTAGTAGCTTTCACACTTAACAGATATTTTATGAATGAGTGACCCAATTACAACTTTGTAGTCAAAACTTCTGGCCAAGAGAGATACTGGTTAAAGCCATACATTACAGATATGGATAATTTACTTCAAGCGAACGAAAGAAGAGGAAATGAATGAGGTGCATACTCAGGCAGGGAGTTTTTTCTTTTTTTTAGCAATGTTCGAGAGGGAGCCCGACTGATGTGTTTATAACAAATAAGTAAACATTAATAATAACTAGTAAATCATGTTTCTTTCGCAATGGAAACTACTATTGTTACTACTACTACGACAGCGACTACTACTACTACTACTACTACTACTACTACTACTACTACTACTACTACTACTACTACTACTGCTGCTGCTGCTGCTGCTGCTGCTACTACTACTAC